GGCCGAGCACATAGTAAACTAAACAGGCAATGGACACTACGCAACAGAAAGTAAGCAGGAATTAAGAAATGGCGATTTTTCTCGTAAACATACAAACAAGATTAAGGACGGGAATTTAGCAAAACAGTGTGTGTGTGTGTCGGCAGCATAAATGTATGGTAATTTATGGGTAACTATTCAAAACTTTTCGATTACCGAACAAAAGCAGGTTAGGGACACGCTTGCCACCGCACTGATTACCCCGCGTGGTTCGCATGTTCGAATATCGTGTGGGACAATGCTGACTCTCTGTGGTCAATGACATTAAACAACATGATGCGCAACTCCGGCATTTTTGTCCGAAGATCGTATTCGATAGCACGCTCCAATGCACATACTTGACGAGACGAAAACGAGCGGATGTGTGCTGCTTTCAAGGCGTAGCACGAATGGTGTTCGTGCCTGCTTTGACAATTGTTGTCGATTTTAATGATATTTTTGAAAGTTGGGATAAAAAGAAATCGGTAAAAGGTAAGGTGAATACTATTGTTGTATATCACACCCGGGCATCGCACTGTTAAGTACATGTGGGAAAGCCAGCCTTTGTCAAATACTACGAAGTTATTAATTCAGTACGGTACGTAGTTGCCCATTTGCCGAAATTACATATTTACTTACTCCTTATGGTTTCAAATAGTTCATGCACCTCCAGTTAGATTTTTTTAATCAGTGAGGATATATACTCATTGTTGATTGCTGCTCATTGTAACATACTATTACGCATTCACTTTTATTTGCGTATTGAATCAAAGTGTTAACAAGTTCACCTAACATTTCACTCATACCGGTCTATATTGTATAGTCTGATTTCTCAAGTATTTGGAGCCACGAATGCTTGTAATTTTCTGACTAAACCCTTTTATTAGTTGGTTTATATACCAAATTCAGTAAAATATTTTTTAAATAAAACATGAGATATTGGATTTATTAGCTTTTCCATTCTGAATCATATAGACTGCTTTATTTATTCTTAACGAAAATTAATAAATCTCCTCTCTTTCTTCAGATGTGAAAGTTGTGGACAAACCTGTCTAAGCATTGTGAGACTCTTGCAGCACAAGAGGCAATAGCAGAAATAGTAAGTATATCAATCAAGAAATTAAGCCGACATAAAGCAAAACTTTCAACTATTCGTCTAATCTCAATTTCCTATTATTTATTCACAGGACAACTATAGCAGACGGGGAGATATCAGAAGTCTGGCGACATATCAGTGACAGTGTGATTCCAAGAAATATAATGCAATTGAAAATTGCAATAGAAAAAACAACCTATGGAGGCATGCAAAGACATTTGACCCTCCGGTAGAGTTGTGTATGGCCCCCACATCCTGCAGGGCTTGAGGAAAATAACTAAAAATTCCAAAGCGTAAGATTGCATAAGCGGTCTTATTTGTAAAAAGGCACAAAACACGCCAGACATACTTAAAACAGCTTTGGAAATGAGGATTACGGGTACCTCACTGCACCTGTGTTATATTTGGTTCATCAACTTTTGGTAGTACTATAGAAGAAATTCCGGAAGGGGTATAATCATCATTCATGATAAAATACTATCATATATTTTTGAACAACTTCAATCTAGACCTGGGATCTCAAACTCGCGGCCCCAGAGAACTTCCAGTGCGGCCTCGACGCTCATAATTGAACAAATTATGAAGATTTCCAGAAATTTAATTATTGATAGTATTTTTGAAGTTTTTTTTTTTTATCTAAATGTAATAGATTTTTCAAACCTTCTAAAGTGAAATTGATTATTCACACAGAAAACAATTTACTGAAAGTAGTTTTGGAATATTAATTTTTTTTGTCCACATTTTGACCCAATTAAGAATACACATCAAGCTAGCAAAAGAATACTTGAATAAAACACTTGAGTAATTAAATTAAACGCAAAGTACACGAAGAAGGTGGCATTTTCGAAGAAAATGGGAGTTGTAACATTTCTGCTCTTCACAAAATTCTGAAGCACATTGTTTAATTTGTCATATTTCCATCAATACAATCAAAAAACACAATAAGCTCAGCAGTCAATATGACAAATTCGAAGACCAACTTCGAACAGAAAATTTCCATGTGTTTGTATATTAATATAATTATACAACGACTTAGTTACTAAAAATCAATATCAATAATAATTCAAGCAATCCTATGCCACGCAATGTAGTGCGAAAAAATCTGTCATTTGTTTTTTTACTGATCTATACATGAAATGATAAAAGTAACTTTTTTGCATTACTGGAATTAATTAAACATTCGTAAAGATCCAGATAAACCCATGATCATGTGGCCTCGTTAGTTAGAGTTGGTACTATAAAATCATTTCAGACTGGCCTTAGTATGCTGGTGACACAAAAAAGATGCCAAACGCCAGGACGAATGTAATTATTAAAACATTGAGTTTATACTGTAGTATTTTTGTTAATTTTAGGTTCATATATTTAGATTAAGTTATTTTTAGTGTATGTATTATTCTTTCCTTATTCAAAGCTTGTTCAAAAATGATTTTGATGGTTGTACATAGAATTTTACGATTTTTTATAATAAATACTGTAACTTGCAAATGTTGCAATAATAGTGGAATGCAAATATTAATATGTAATTGCATTTGAAATTGAAGAAAATAATAAAACTTAATCCAACTGTTTAGTTGCATCACAATATATGTCACAAACTAAAACTATCTTAAAAATATCTTTTAAGTATACATTATCAAAAACTGTTTGCGGCTCTTTTTACAATTTTCAAAATGCAATGCGGCTCTCGAAAACCCATGAGTTTGACACCACTGATCTATTCTAGACGATTCAAGCATTGCTTTGGGAAATTATATCACTTCAATTAAATTGAAATAATCTCGCTATATTAAATACAAAATCGTTGCTATCATAAAGGTAAACCAATTCAGCCACTCGAAATATATTGGCCTTCACAAAGCAATGGAGGCAAAATTGAGAGTTCATGAGCTATGAACATTTGTTCTTTTCTTTGTCTTGAACTTTCCATACTCCACAGCCCCTATTAATTTTTTTTTTCCTTTTAATTACCATGTGATGGTCATACATATCTTTAACTTGTATTTTCTGTCATGATGTATTATCTCAATGTGCCAAACTATTAATTAGTGTGCATATTTTGCTTCCAGATGACATAAATGTATTGTCATGTTTATTACCTCAGCTTGGAGTATTGACAAGAAAAAGGTGCCAGTAAATTAGGTAAAAAAATTTTCAACTCATTGTTATAATCAGAATTCACAATCAATAGGAATTATAAACAGCCAACAATCAGTGAGAATTATATGCGAAATCCCTCAGAATAAATTTGTCTAAAATCGGAGGAAGGCAAAAAATATAGGTAGTTTCCATCCACACAAGCATTTCAAGAAGACTTGCTCGAGCCAAACTAAATGAGCATCGTCAGGTGATCGGTAAGGCTGCAAGTTGAATTCAGCCCTGCAACCTCCTGCATAGAAGATAATATTAATTAGTGGGCTATGAGCTAAATTCCTAAATTTAAACAAACCTATCTACGATGCATTATGTACCAGCAATGTTACCTACGATTAACTGAATATGTAATATGTCTAATAAATTCACCTACAAAAGCAAGTTCGATAGGTGCAAACTTTGTGTTATGGAATTGTATCGCAGCACAGTTTTGTATGACACCCTCTTTAAATGAAATTTCAATGATTAAGCGCAAACATTAAAATTACTAACTTTGAACTTTGTCATTATCTGCAAAATGTTCCACACAAATCTTTCCGCTATCGCGTTTGTAATCTTCTCTGATAAAAAAAAACGTCTATGATGTCCAGAATTGCTCTTTACAGCTTGCCTGTTATTCCAGCTTTCCAAGTAAGCAAAACTTCTTAGATATAGAGATTATTTTGTTTCGTTACAGGCGCAAAAAGGCAGGTACTACACGTAAAAAAGACGCCGAGTAGCAAAAGCGAGCGGAAAACGGACGCGAAAGGCGACGAGAAATATGTGCATTGGAGCGTATCATGAAATACAATGTTTTGCCTGTAGTCTTATGGAGTGACGTCAGAGTTGCCTATCATGTTGTTTAATGTCATTGCTGTGGTGAAAGAACCGCTGGATTCCTCGCCGTCACATAAACGCTTGTCGGTTACAGCATTCTCCACCATCGGTTCCATGCATCTGAAAAAAATATAGTCTGCTATCTAACTAATCCCATTCACGACGTGGAATGGTAACCGGATGAGAGATTTTGACGTTAATATTGTCAACTCGTGACTCCATACACTCCTTCGTACCAGAAAATGATGGGGAATCACCTGTATTTGTCAAAGACGCTTCCTCAATAAGCCAATGAACGAAATAGTGTCAGAAGTTCTCAGAACAAACCATTAATTCAAAATATTCGTTTGATGTTGCATATATACTGTCATTATGGCATCATTTTGTACAAATTCCACCAATTAACTGTATTTTTAATTCACTATATTATGATATGATATACTGTGTAGACAGACGTATTTATCATGCTGTAGCTTTCAAATTGTCCTAAAGGCTAATTTTGCATTTCGAGCAAGATTGATTCTATAGTCATAGTGTACTTTCAGCGATTCCTTTGGGACTTTTCCATCAGTGCTTTAGATCTGTATTGCTGTTGGTGAACTTTGAAAATTTGCCATTTCCTGATTTCTGTATTTACATATTTAAGTGTGTAATTTCTGTTGCACATTCTATTTTACATTGCTAATTGAACACTCATACATGGAATTGAAATACAATGTTGCGTAGGGTTTCTTATTCTGGTACTGTTTTCGAAATTGAAAAATAATATTGTTAAGAATCTGAACATCATGTTTTTAATGATGTGCTGTATGCAGTGCATATACAAATGTGTTTTTTAATTGACAAGTAAGCCTACATTCGGCAATGGTGAATAATTCTTTGTGTTTATGATTCAGTGATTACTTGATTAGTTTACTGATTAGTAATATACTGAATATAAGTTCTGTCCCACCAAATGTTTACTCAATACTCTTCTGTTCAAAATCATGGATGAAAGTTGGTGTGATTCATGTTTAATATGTGGCCAGAGATATTTTTCTGAAGATGAAATGACAAAGCACATTGAATTGGATCATGCAACTTGCAATAGGGAAAATGATATTGACAAATCAAAATGTCCATTTTGTACATACGTGGTTTCCAATAAAGATGAAAACAAGATGGAAACCCATGTAATGGATGTTCACAAGGAGGAAATGCGTACACCAAAGAAAGGTATCCACTTTAATTTATTAAAGCAAAATCTGAAGGTGCGAAAGGTCTGATCATTAGTTTGATTTATTTATTAACATACTCTTTGAATATCAAATGTAAATTCTGGTTAAGTTACCTAAACAGAGTATGAAGTTTCTCAAACTGGGTCCTAAGCCTCCCCTAGTGATCCATGAATTGGTTTTCTGGAGGACATGACTAAAGGTACTATTAGCAGTGACTACATTTATTCACAGTAAATTGACAGAGATTTGCCTAAATTGTTGATTGTAATAGGATTTTTCTTACTTTAGTTGGCCTTTCATTATTGAATGTGTTGCATAAACTAACTAACAGAAACGCATAAGAAGCAAAAATATGTCTTTTTTGAAAAGATCAGGGGGCCACAAGTGTTAAAGATACATTGAATGGCGGCCACAGATCATAAAAGCTCGAAAAACACTGGCGTAATCATTCATAGGCCTATCAATAATTACTGAAAGCCCCTTAGTCAGGATATTAGATAATTAAAGCTTAAATATAGTATAGTGTTACAAAATCCTATCTGTTGCAGATGAGTGTGGAGCATCATCAGGGAGTGAGGTTAATGGAGAATGTAGTAACAATGTTGATTCATCTCAATCAGAAGTATTAAGTTGTCCTGTTTGTCAATTAACTGGATTTGACAATGTTGACAAACTAACTTTTCATACAGAGTCTCATTTTATTGACAATGAACAGGGACATATGTCAGTAAAATCTGATTACACACAAGATGAGCTGTTGGCTATAAGTATGATTTGTATATTAAGTTACTATATTGCAAAGAATTCAATGTATCAAAGTTATCTCGCCTATTTGAAAAGTTGTTTATGTAGTAACTAATAAGTAAATTTTTAAGATGCGTCTACAGATAAAATTCTCTGCTATAATTTATTTCTGGCTCACAAAGTTTCTTATATGTATCTTCACTTCTTATTACTGCTTGGTTTGCTAGTCTGGGTCCTGGCCAACCTAGGTTCAGATGCAATGATTGCGGTATTAGATGTTAAATTTATGAAGTATGTTTTTTCCTAATCTAATGGATTCCTATGTTCATGTCTTTTCTTCTCTGGTGTGAAGCATCTCATAAAAATTATTTAGTCCCGAATCACACAAACTTTAACAAAAACTCATTTAAATAAGATCAATAGTATAGCGACTGTCATCACTCTTGCTCAAATGGGCTTACTCCAAATGAGTTTACTCCGATCTACATTTTTGTTTTGTGCTATCAAAATAAACCTCATTGTAACACCACTTCTACACTTTGATACTCTAATAATATATCCACATTCTAGAGTTACAAGAGCAAGAAAGATTCGAACTACAAGCCAGTCGAGACGTTGCGGAAAACTTATATTTTGAAGAATTAAGGAGTAAATATGGAATGGGCAAAGAACACCAAAGGACTGGTTTCCGGAATCAAGCGTTTAAAAATATGGATAAACAAGTTGGAAGAGCATCATCATCATGTTTTGATTATTACAGGTAGATATGGTCATGAGAATCATGAGTGTATATGTTTACTGTTTGATCAAAACTATAAACTCCTGTCAAATATAATTTTGCTTTAAAAGTAAATGATTTAGCTCGCTCAAAATCGTATGATGAGGGTAAATACCAATATTCAGGAGTATTGCTTTCATTAATTCAAATGTTGTTGTAATGTGTTAGGATTTCTGGTATTGAGTGCTTCTTTCATTTCCTTGTGAGATAGGAATCTAGCCAAAACATCTCTTAGTTTTAATATTAATAAGGCCCCGTGTTGTTTTTAACAATAGTTTCATTTGAGATGTATTCTTTAATGTATTCAAGTTAAGTTAAGATTTCAATTGTTATTCTTTAAAGAACAGAGATTCTCATATTTTATACATAATAAAAAGGTATGACATTGAGAATTTGGTTCATCTAAACATTTCAGGGAAAAGTTGAAAGGACTCATTTTATATTGAAGCTATTGTTGCTCTGTACAATTATGGATTCTGTGTTTTGCACCAAAGCAAGAGTTACTCTTTGATTTTAATTTTTAGCCTACCACCATAATATACATGATCATTTGAGTTCTTGCTAAGGTTTGATTTAGTGAATTGTTTTATTGGTGTGAAGTGTTTTAAAATGAATATCTTTTCAATATTTTTATCTATAGTGACAAATTTAACATGCTTGAAAAATTGGAAATGGGAATTGATGATGGTATGACAATTCGCTCTGATGTTCATGGGCTATTAAAAACACATTTAGAAAAAACTGTGAAACCTGGTACAAGAACTTGGCTGGCATCATCTACTCATTTTATTGGTGATTCATGTACTAATATGTATCTTCATATCTACTGATTTTATGGTACAATTGTAGGAAACTAAACTGAATTGTGTACGTCATATTTATACCAACATAATGTCTTGCAACCACTTTATGGGCAAATTGCAGAGTAATCAATTACTTCCCCAGGGTATAATCACATATGTTTATTTGTATATGTACATTTTCCAAGTATAAGGCTTATACAGGCTGCTTTAAGATGTAAAATTTGCGAATACAAATTCCACAATGTCTAGGCTTTTGAAAAGAATTGTTGTCTCATATATTTTCTCAAAATTTTAACTTTACATCAGGATTATTACATATTAATCACACATATTTTCAGGTCGAGGGCCTGGCGATTCTGGTTGGGGTTGTGGTTACAGGAACATTCAAATGATAATTTCAAATTTAAATGAAAACTGCGACTACAAAGACTTGATGAAGAAAAAATTTGATGGTAAAGTTGAGTTGATGTTAGATGATTCTGATCATTATAAAGGAAAAGCCAGATAACCTCTTCTATACACTTCAATAACTGGTGAATAGTCACTATTTAAAATTATTTATTGTAAATAGGAAACATACCTTCAATTCCAAAACTCCAGGAATTGATTGAATCAGCTTGGTCAGAAGGTTTTGATGCAAGAGGTCGAGAACAACTTGAATCTAAAGTGGTTGGAACAAGAAAATGGATCGGAGCAACAGAAGCATTTGCATTTCTTTCCAGCATCGGTCTACATTGCAGAATAATTGATTTTCCAAGGTTTCTTTCGTTCTGCTTAAGACACTTGTGATGTTTTCTAATAATGTAATTAATATAATCTGTATAACAGATATCCAGTTTGTATATATACAATTTCTTCCTTAAAAAAGTCACAGTAATTGCTTGAGAAAGAAAAAACACACAATGACAAGTATCGCTTATAGTATTTTCATTTCTGAGTCATTTATTTTCAATTTTCTCATTATGTAAAAAATTAATAAATCTATATTCATCCATATGTACTTCTTTTATTTTATTAATTTTGCACTTCCATCACCTATTACGTCAGGCCATCTTATTACGTTCAGACCATCAGGACCAAAACAGAGTCATCCCTTATTTTTGAACTGGATCATCCAATACTTTGACTGTGAAAATATCAGCGACAGCGATCGCAGTAAGTAGGCTAAAGTGTCAAACTTGCCATATTGCTGGAGCATTATATTTATTAAAAATGAATACATATGCCTTATTGTGAAGCAAATGTTGTCATGGCAAACTCACTCATTCATAAGTTTTATACCCACTCGCCTTCTCAAATAGTCAGGAAGCATTTTTCCAAGGGTATCTACTTTTCCACTCTTTAGCATCACATATAATCTGCACATCATGAATAAAATATCGCTTTTACGTTTGATTGTATCAACTTCCACTGTACATTTCTTAATTTCTTTCTTGCAACATATCATGAACATACAACATCTCATTTTACTCTGTTTGAAGTATACAAGTTAGATGATAGACTAAATTTGCGTCATGCTATGGATGGATGCTTTTTGATGTGACCTCTTCTATACATTTACATAAGTTTTCCTTGGTGTCAATTCTTTTTTTAAATCTTTTTATTACGATATACTAAACATAGATAATATGAACAATCTTTATTTTCAGTTATTGTGACTTCAAAACCACCATTATATCTTCAACACGAAGGCCATAGCAGATCAATTATTGGTATCCAATGCGAGGATTCTTCAAATCAAAAATTCAAATTGATTCCAGTGAAAATTTTAATATTTGATCCAGGAGATTCAAAGTTTCAGTTAAAGAATAAGGTAGGCCGAAAATAATTTTATCCTCACAATACGGATTATCTTTTAGAAAAAGAGAGAAACGTCTGAATTGTGATGATCTTATTTAAGGATTTCTCTGGGTTTTGTGGTCTGTGGTTCACACAATCACGGAACTCAGCATCTGAAACGAGTTAAGTAATCCTGTAGTGTTTTAACAATTACTGGTGTCCGGACACCTGATCGTCGTACATAATATGTTTAAGTCGTCTAATCGACTTTCCTTTCCGTTCTGATATAATAAGATACGATTTTAATTCGATTCATTCGCAAAAACAAAATAAACCTATATACACAAAGATTGAGACGAAGAATCTGGAAAGTGAACAAAACCTAATAAAATAGGTCTAAAACGTATGCTCCGTTCCATGCTCAAACATATATCTAGTAAAATCTACTAAAACGTTAACACACCAATGTAAAAATCGATTGTGAATTTTCAAATATCAGTTAGTGCAGTTTAACCGTAGTAATATATATTTACGGTTCAACATTTGTATATCCGGTCTTCTCCATATTTGAGCAGAGCATAATCTCGTCCATCACGAAATCTTCCATTTTGCACATTTCCAGTCCATCATTAAAAAATCTGCCATTTCTGTTATTTGTTTATTGATGTCACTAAGTCTGGGATTCACTTCTCGAATGCATATCTTCGGCTCGAGGTAGCCACGTCCGCACGCGCCGGCGTTCGGTACTGAAAGAGGATATAGTATTTCATCATGAATCTGAAGACAAGCTAAGATAACCACAAACTCTTTAAGTATTGATTTAATTCACTAAATAATAATATATTTGAAGTCCCATCGTTTGAATACAGCTTCGATTTAATCATTCATAGCAATAAGTCACTATCAGTTGGTACTTACGGTATATTTCAGGGCAAGAAAGTGAAAAAATCTTCACAAGGATCAATGAATCTTAACAGATTCATCAAACCAATTTCCTGTCTAAACAAAGACCAATATCAAATAGTTTGTGTGGAAGGAATCGCAACGCAACAAAGGCTTCAACAACAAAAGAATCCTGATTCTGTTTGTGAAAAATTTCAATGAAAATTCTTGTAATTTAGGGGGAACAGTGTTTTTTTACTTATATTGCACATAGTAATTATAAATTACTGTGTTATTTAGCTGAATAAAGGGATTGAAACACTTTTTGCTTTACCATGCATGACCCATACATTGTGAATTCTTTTTTTTCCTTTTATTAGATAACTAGGATATCTCCAATTTCCAATATATTCATATTTTTTCGGAGTCGTTTGAACTGCTTGTATGTTGCCCATTGACAGCAGTTGACTATGTAGGAGTAGTCTTGGATTATTGTGCAAGTGAGCAGGTGGAGGAATTTGTTTGTTAAATAGAATCTGGACATAAAAAAGGTAAACCACTATGCAGGGACGAAACAAGGTAATGGTTACTGGTGTGGGTACAATATGGGGTGACTGAGAAGTTCCGGTATTCTAGTTATATTAGGCTCGGCGATGTGGCGCATCGTGCTAAGCGTTCGAAATACGCTCGTCATGGCATTAGAGATGTACCGATAGCACTTTTGTCGCCGATATTACAAAACGACCGATATTTCGATACTATGTAAATATTACCTCGCGTGCGCAGGGCAGACGCTAGTCTTTGAGCTTTACTCGTGGTACACATTATTTCAGATTGAAAAGGAATATAATACCTCATAAGAAATTGATGTTTGGGATTCAAATGCGTTAGTTAATTTCGATGCTTAATAAGCTAGTAGTCTCGGTGTTCAATTAGAAAACTCATAGCCAGGGATGTCCAATTCGAATTTAATATTAATAACGCGACATTCGAATATCGCCCACACACCGTAGAGCCGCCGTCCACGTTTCACTTGAAAACATTTCACATATATATATTTCGTTTTATGTTTTATCGTAATCGTGCGTCGCGACAATAAATTACAGCCGACATGAGGGGATTCCAATCAGCGCTGGTTAGAAATACCTATAACACGTCGAGGATGTTTCTGATTTTAATATTTCATAATATATCGCAAATATTATCGTATATATATTTCGAGATAGTCTGGGCGGCCACGGCAATAAATATATATATATGAGGAAATTGTATAGTTAAACAAAATTAAAATTAATGGAATCACAATATTTAATACCTGTGTAGAGAGATAATTGAGTCGGAATTTAGCTTAAAGATGTCGATGGACTAAACTAAATGACACTAGCGCTTAACGATAAACAGTTGGAATTTATAACCGTGCCAAAAAGTGCGTATGCTGTTGATGAAGACGTTTCTCCACTATGATTTAAAACTGGGAGCGTAGTTGCTCTTATTTTTATGCTTGTCAATTAGCACCGCAATTTATAGGTATAAATACCGTAATGCTTATTAGGTCTACTTTCACAGAGCAATTTCATTGCTTTACAATGATAACATTATCAAAGCCCAATTTATATGTTCCTGGATTTTAGGGAAGTGGATTGTATTTATGAGGGGGATTTTACAATTTATTCGGAATTTCAGTATCGAAAGTATTTTTAGAATGTATTCGAAATAGTAGATGGGTATGGCCATGCCAGCTCATAAGGTTTTGCTACCAGAGTGGTGAAATAAATAAATGTTTAGCCTACTTATCTTATCAAATTGATACATTGAGTTACGTGCGCAAGATTTTGTTTCAATATAACGACATATTTTGTATTTTACACATTAGAAAATCCACTAATATTCGATTGATATATTTATTCATAATTACTATGTAATATTAAAAACATCAATATAAAATCTTGGCAGTAAAAATAGCCAAATTAGTTGAGCGTTTGGCTGATAAATAACTAAGAACGTTTCTATTCGCGGGGATGGAGACGTGTATGGCTCATAGTTCCCCCAAGCAAAAAATAATTTAAACATCAATATTCCAACTTATTTTTTAAAACATTCTGAATCATATCAACAAGGTAAACATATCGGAAATATCGGTCTTCATTCAGCCCATACCGATACAGTACCGATACCGAAAAATTGGCCGATATTACCGATACCCGATACCGATACATCGGTACATCTCTACATGGCATCTCTGATTACCTTGCGTCGGTACGCAGGTTCGAACTTCGAGTCCCATGCGGGTATAATTATGTGCGAGAGGATTGCTGGACTCGCCGCCGCAGGGTGGTTCACCTAACCACTGGTCGGTTACGGCATCCTCAACCTAGAGCCATTATATAATGGCTCTGCACAACCATCAAGTCCATGCATCTAAAAACAAATAACTACTCCCATGCACGACATGGACTGGTAACCGGACGAGATGCCGGGATTCGCTATATGATTAGGTCGTATTTTAGGCTTTCATCGCTCACAGAAGTATGCAAATCCTATTCTCAGTCTATTTGGTTAGACTGAGGTTTGTTAGACCTCTAACAGGTTTGTTATTCGTCGATCCGCTTGATTTCACAGTAGATACCTTATACAGATGTCCAGTGGTGAGAATCAAAACTTCAGTTCTTTTTTCTGCATTAAAAAAACACTCTTTATACAAATCTGCGGAACATGGACATATGATTTCTTTAACATTTGCAAACGCAAAATTAATTATAAGCAGTAGTTCAATTTAATAGATCGCCTTTACAAAATTACGCTAGAATTAGATCATTACAAATGACATTAAACTTGTCCATTGTTTAATGTCATTGATCCTTACGAAGGAAGCACTTGTGGTTTTAATTTTAGCTGAACATGAATACTTTTTTAGGCGACACTCCAGCCTTTATAGTTTTATGCTATTTCCCTTTATCTAAACATTTTTATAATATTTTCTTGCAATAATATGTAGGATAGGATTTACATATTTATCCCGGGGGAGAGGAAATCTGCTTAATCATATGGCGAACCACGGCCTCTCGTCCGGTTACCAGTCCAGGTCGGGTATGGGATTAGTTAGCCAGTTATTTGTTTTCGGAAGCATCGACTTGATGGTGGAGGAAGCCGAAACCGACCAGCGGTTACGTGAACCATCTTACGGCAGCGAGGAGTCCAGCAATCCTCTCTCACATGATCATCCCCGCGTGGGATTCGAACCTGCGATCCCACGAAAAGAGTAATCAGAGATGCGGTGGCGAGCAGACTCCTAACGCTTAGCACGATGCGCCACTCCGCCGAGCATGTTTTCCGATATTACGGTACATATTATATGTAGTAGTATATTGTAGCAAGTACATAAGGATAGTTACTTGTATTTTAATTTTTTCACCACTTATTTTTAGTAGTGCATGTTATTTGCCTTCATGATATATTTTTCTCGCTCAGTGTAGCTTGTCTTTGCCGTTCTTTGTTGGTTAGAAATTTGGTTTCATCACATATACTTGCTTTAAGGTTTCAAGTGTAATTCGTTATTTGGATCAATTCGATTGTGCAACTTTATAATATAACAATTGGCATTCAATACATTGTGTGCTTTTTGACCTCTGAAGGAGTCAAGATCGGAGTTACACTCTGTTAACGTGTGTTCAATAACACGGGAGTGTGGACACGCAGATAGGGTCGAATCTTTGTTGCCCTATAATATATTCAGGATTTCTTATATATATATATAAGTTGAACTTTTATATATATGCTTCTTTCAAAATTTACTATGAAATTGTGGACTCCAACTACCTCCAACGTGTTTTGATTGACGAATTCCAGTAAACAAATAACGCGTAGTAGTTATTTTGTTTGGTTATCTCGAGGTACGGTAAGTCTGGCCTACGTTAGTATAGATCTGCTGTTTTAAGTAAAGCTTTGATAACCATAAATTGTTAAACGTTATAGAATATTAGAGTATTTTATGAACCGTGAACGTCACGTGTATAGTTTAAAGAAAAACTGACGATATTTGGAATTGCAAATTGCTTAACTTTGGCGTTTAGCATTTTTTTCAGCATTTGGCGCGGCGGTGTGGCTCAACGGGCTAAGCGTTAGGAATACGCTCGCCACCGCACCATTAATTACTCTGCGTGGGTTCGCAAGTTCGAATCTCATGCAGGGATGGTTATGTGCGAGAGGATTGCTGGACTCCTCGCCGTCGTTGGGTGGTTCATGTAACCGGCTTCCTCCACCACCAAGTCCATGCTTCCGAAAACAAACAATATATATAACTAATCCCATACCCGACTTGGAATGGTAACCGGACGAGAGGATGTGGTTCGCCATATGGATAAGCCCTCTTATCGACTTTCCTATCCCCCGGGATAAATATGTAAATCCTATCCTATCCTTTCTGAATTTAGCACGTTGAACTTTAATATCTGCCAGTCCACGTCTTACTTACTTTAGCTCCAGTTATCGTATTTTAAAACTCTGTTATGTTTTATTATTATTCCAATTTCACAATCTGGATTTCAATTCCAACACAGGTTTAATATATTTTCCTTTCATACAGATGTATGGAAAATTCAATCTGTAATCAACCATGCAATAAAACTTTCTTTTTTATCTAATTTATGTCAATGTATAACTTATGAATGTACAGATGTCTGAATGTAGAAGCAGAAGATACAATACTTATTAACAAATCGTGAACTGGAATGATCAAAGATCGAAGTATATTTGTACACGTTTTGTAGCAATATTTTCTATAATAAATTACTAATATCATACTTTATTTCATAAATGGTAATTTTTCTGTGGCAATCCAGCTATACCTTACATCTGGGACACATTGAACTTGTCATTATTAACTGACTATTGTACATACATTGTGCATTGCAGTAGTGCTTTCCTTAACTTGTCTATTTACTTTATTGTGTTTATTGTCTCATTATAACATAACAGTCTTATACTGCTGTTATATTTGTGAAGGGTGCATGTCGAACAATTTTGTATTAGGCCAGTAACGCCTTGTACATACAGACATATATCCCATTTCTGTTATAATGTATATATATATATATATATATATATATAGACTATTATGCAGATACTATTACATTTCGAGACAAATATGCATGCATGCACGCTTGCATTTCTTAAGATTTAGAAAATAATTTGAGTAACAGCCATACTTCACACGTTTATCATTTCATGACATCTCAGGATGCAAATCGAAATATTTTGAATATTGGAAATACAATTAATTTGAGAAATTGAAATTTCGAAATATCTAGACAATATTGGGTTATTCTCAAGTCCATATTCCTAATTATGTACTTTATATTATAAACAGTTACAGGTTAAAGAACAGAAATAACAACAATTCAATGTGGAGCAACATAGGCTATTCAGTCAAATATTTCGAAACAGTCAATATTACTCGGAGATGGTGACCGTCATGAATAACCAAGGCATGATGATGGGGCCTATGAAAGGTCATCTGGCACCCAATAGTAGCCGTAAGCATCTATTTTCATCTCGTTTCCAATCTGAAAAGATTCTAGGCTATCATGTATGTCAGGGCTATTCAAATGGCGGACCGCGGTCCTAATCCGGACCTTTCGACCCTTTAATTTAGACCACGTCTGTTTGTTTATTTTGGCAGCATAAGCATCGTTTTATAGTTTTAGAAGATTTTGGTGCAATTTAAATACACAGCCTTACAGTTTGTCCTACTGGTACCGATGTGCGATATTTGTGGCCATATTTGCGAGCCATTTATTGCTCTTGTATTTAATATAATATTGCTTTTGAAGTTTCGTCTATTTAATAAAATAAAATTTCTGTAATGACCGGACCCCAGTAATTTTGAAGTTCCATAAACGGACCTATGTTGAAAATAGTTGAGTAGCCCTGATGTATGTCATACTTAGGTATATTACCATATGAGCACTGATGGTAGTAGAAGACATATTACAATAAAATTTTATTATTTAGATCAGTGGTTATCAAACTTTTCAAATATATTCCCCCCTTTTTCTATATACACTCATCATTCCTCCTCACTTGCATAACAACTCTTATTTCCGTGTTCAGTTATTGATGGATAATTAGCTAGTCATACATGCAACTCGCACTCTTGGCTTTTGTACATTTTGAAAAGTTCATGAATGTGTACAAAAATAAGTGAAGGAACAAAGCAGATACAAAATTAAATTTTCTCCCTCAAACCATTCAAATCCCATTTGGAGAGGAATTCATTCCCGGTTGGGAAGAGCTGCTTCTAATTATTTTCAAACAAACTTTCAATTATCATTATTCAACTTTATTTTGACTATTATTTGAACAAAATTTATTGATAATCCATTAATAATTTTGTCACTCTATTTGAAAGCTTCATGGATGGAATAACATATAATTCATGTTTTGCAGCATTCAAACCAACGATCAACAAGTTATCATCTCAGTATATGATCCAAGACCATATGTCAAGTCATTACATAAAATTGGGAACTGCAAAATGTAAGTTTTTTCATTTGCTTGTTACCTTACTACAGAGTGCTCCGAAAAAACACAACCCACGTCATTTGGATCATATTCTAGGGCAAATGTAAAATCTGTGCCCTGGATTGAGTGTCCTGGATAGCTGAAACTTTTGGGTACAATCATGCACAAACAGAAGTTCAAGTGTTGAAAAATATTCTTTATTTTCATAGAATTAATTAGGAAATTTATGGGGTTTTGTTGCGCAACCCTGTAGTTCTGAACTGATTGTTGCAAAATATATTCCTCTACCAGTTTCTTAATAATGGAATGAAATTATTTACCAATACAATTTATGCGAAAGTATTTATACCATTTTCTATCAATGGATGCCAATGTGGTAAGTGATCTATACATCACTGCAGAAACTTGTATCTAGGCCAGTTGTGATTTACAATCAAAATAATCAAAGTGGCAAGTTAATGATCGAAGAAATCAAGTAAATGCGTGAAGGCTAAAAGTAATATTTTGTTGATATCTTGTTTTAGTTTGGTGATGACCAGATAAGGGTATTATTGGATAGACATATGTCAGATAATGGTATTATGAACAAAACATGATTAGATATTTTGCTTGTTCACGCTATTCGCTTTAAACAAGGCTTTACACATGCATCTGATGATGAAGAACAAGAATTCAAAAATTTCTTGCATTATGTTTTAGCTGCTATTGACAACAAACCACCTAAATCTATGACTACAAGTGTGAAGAAACGAGATCAGATGAGAAGAGGAAGCAATGGCAAAACAAATGAAACTTTTCGATTTTGAAAAGGAAATGAAACACAGCAGTTCATTGTCTAATCAGGTTTTATATTTGAGTTGTACTATTTAATTTTCTAATACAAAGGATATTTGTGCAAGTTAGATACAGAAATCCTTAGTCTCTTATATCAACAAGTCATATACAATGTAAATATGAAATTGTGTAGGATTTTGAATTGTGTAGATTACAATTCGTTTAAATCATTATATGACTCACTTATAAAAATTATTATAAATTTTGCTTCTAGATATGTCTTTTGCGCTAAACAAGGCGCTGCACAAGTAGTCACTGCTAGGCAAGGAGCTACTATAGTTTGAAAGGACCATAATCTTCCATATTCGTTATTGCCTACCCAATATTTTACCTCCTTGGTGAGTTGGGGGGACATGAGATTTGAAACCTATATTTAAACATATGGTGTCATCATAGTTAGGTCTAACGCTTCAACCACCAGGCCATCATGCTCAGGTGATACCGCTGGAATTTGTTTGAAAAAATATGTTTTGAGGCAACATCTATATTTTATATCAGCTCATTTTTATGCTGCTTTTAGATGCGAGACTCCGATGCGTACGGATCACCTCGTTTACTTTCAGTAACTGTGACTAAAACAGGATACGATGAAATGCGACCACGTTCATCATCCTCATTTCATTCTCAACATCGATCAAAATCTGGTTACAGTCCTCGTTCATCAACAACTTCTAATCCAAATTCTCCTCGAAATAAGTCACAAAAATCGGACATTTTAAATCAAACATATAGCGGAGATTACTTGGACAGACACGAAGAACGTTTCAAAAACACAGACACTCCTTTTACACCACGTTTAAAAAAACGATCAGGGAAATCATATCTATCAAATTCAAAGCATTATGCTCCACCTCTTGTCATAAAGAAAGAGAATAAAAGGAAAATTGCAACCAAGTCACATGAATCAAAAGAAGATAATGTCTCCCCAGTAGCATCTTATTCAGATTTGAGATCAGCTCAGGATAAGACACCCAACAGGTCAGTATAATAGTTCGATATCTAGTATGTCTGCAAGAAATTCAATCAGACCTAAATTTGTAAATTTTTTTTTAAATATTGTAATTATACGCCTTTAGCTCTGAATGAGGCTCTGCAAAACGGGTTCTTCTAGTATTGAAGAGCTTCAATATTACCGGAATCTTTTCCGCATTGCGTTCCCGATTTATTACACCCTGAGTGAAGTGGTGTTGGTAGGTGTCGGCTTTAATTCCAAGATTTTAACCTGCGATCCCATCATAGTTATCATCATTTGAATTGGGCTGCCATTTAGACAGCAGGTTTGTACAACATCTGCTCAATGCATGACTATTAATATGTTAAAATTAGGTATGTAATGTATTATTGCTCCTACAGTTAGTGTGTGTCGATCCATCTCTAGTGCATGATAATAACAAGTGAGTACTTGTTATTCACAGATCAATAATGCACCTGTTTGACCTTCTTATCATTGTTGAATGTTATTGTTATTGATTCAGGTGTAGGTAGTATTTTAATTATTGTGATGTCACAATATGGTACAGTTAGTGCAGAAATGATCTAGAATTAAATATTAATCAGTTGTGAAAGCTTTTGCTTGAGTTGGAATGTGAGTTCAGATGTTGAGGAAAATATGAGCAAAGGACAAAAACCTAGGTGTATTGTCAAGGCAGGTCGATGTTTGCTTCCAAAGCAAGAAAATCAGGAGCTCCTCGCCCGAAACCATTTGCGATATTTGCGCAAAATTTTTACAAGAAAATCGCAGCTTGTTATGTATTTGGGTCTGGTGGATATGCATATTTTAGATAAAAGTGTCCCACCTGGTTTGCGGATTGATGTAAAACCACCTGGCTACAAGAACATCATAAATGAGAGAGATATGGGTGAATGGTTTACTACTCTTCAGCAGTGCTCTGCAAGCCTACTCACTCTTCTGCGAAAAATGTACATCAAAGATATTGAAAAATGTGAGTCGATCATCAAATACTCAGTAACACAACTCACGACAATAATCACCTCTCTTCGTGGAGTAGAAAGAAAAGTTGTGAGAAACGATGTTCTTGGACTTTTGGATAAGATTAGTCAAGAATGCAACAAAGATTTAGTTTCAAAATTTGATGTCGCAGAGGAACGTATTATATTCGATAAAGCAATGAAAGAGGACAGAAATAAAATATTAGAAACTTTTTTGAATCATGACAGAAAAGTTAATTTTGCTGTTAGAAATAATAACTTAGAAGAACTGGGAGAAAGTAGAACAAAAAGTGGGCAACTGCAGTCGACCTGTGATATGGATGTTGAAAATAATGCTCATGAAGGGTAATGAATATTGCTAAACTATTGAGAAACTTTTGTATTGATTAGTATCAAAATATAACTGAAGGATGTATCAGTTTTCAGTTGTGAAATTCATAATGCCCAGAATATAGTATAGTCGAATTGCCAATTTTTGTTTCAGAAAAGTAGGCCTACCGTGAATGATTTTGGAGCAGACTTAAATTTGAAGGCGCTCTTATGCTTAACACAACACATATCTCTCTTAGTGGGTTGTATTTAACTATATCTATCAGCATCATAAATTGAAAATCAAACGTTTAAATCCTATGCTTATTATCCAATCGATGGTATATTTTGTATAGTTTTAGCACTATTACCACGGCACACTCAGAATTTCTCCACAGTTATTAACACATTTTTTCATTCAAGCCAGAGACATTTGAGCATGTGAAAAAACTAGGGTTTACACAAGCATTGCACTTAATTGGCAGTACACATCATAAATGTAGATACCTTTAAATGCAAACCTGCTGTCCTTATGGCAGCCCAATGACATCCCCTTATTAAAAGAGTAACACAGCCCCAAGTGTTGATTCTTCTGAATGTAGTAGAATATATTTTTGATTAAGGCGCTGTATAAAGTATAACCTATTATATTTTCAGGGAACACGAAAGAAGATGGATTGAAGAACAGACTGATCTTATGCAAAGACTTACTCTTGATGAATCAAAACGTACTTATGATAATATATATCCCAGTCAAGCCAGGTATACATTATACTTAGTTTTACATTCTTGTGCCTAAATATCATAGGAATATGCAAATTCTATTTGTCAAATAGAAAGCAGAGAGTCCAGGTCAATTACGAAACATTACATATTAGATCGAGTTAGGAGCAATTGAATTCAATTCGACATTGATGTAATCAAAAATATCAAGACAAAAATGGATTAAAAGAATTTGGCCTATTTTATGAAGTTTTAATTTTGAATATAAAATATCATATATATTCTATGAATTGGGAGATTGTTGTATTGTGTACTGCTATCACAAAGCCTACTTTTCTTACGATCGTCAGATTTAAATTTGCTCGGAACAACCAACATATTTTATAATCAAAATATTCTAAATTATTTCTAAAATTAAAAATTTAATATACCGAATAAAACATTTTGTATGTATTCAAATATTCGATTCCTTCTTGACGTCCCTGTTTTACTTTTTTGGCAACCAAAACAAACTTGAGGACTGCATGTTTTTGTCAATCTTTCTCAAATCTAATTTAATAAAATTGATTTTATCAAATTTAAATTCAGTTGAATTTAAAGTCTATTTAACATCTCTTATATTTTATGCCAACAAAAAGAATTGACCTCTCTTAATTTTCAAATTGTTGTAATGTATGTATCACAGTAATGTAGATTGTACGCACTGTAGTGTAGATTTGTTCTGTGTTATTGTTTAGTACAACGAATGACTATGGTTTTCGGCAAACTGGAACGGGAAGCACGAATTTTCTTGGAACATCCAGTTTAGGAAGAAGTTTTATAAGGTTATTTGCAATTTATTATGCAATGATGATTTGTGCAACTGAATCTCGCAGTGTAGTTATTCTTTATTCATTCTGGTTATATTATATTGAATTACCTTAATTTCCATGAGGAGCAAAAGCACAATCATTATTATTACTTTTATAAAATTTGACCACACAAGTTACCGTATTTAAATAATTACTTTATTTAATTATCGCTTTGAGTCTAGTCCAGCGTTTCCCAACCTTTTTTGGTCGCGGACTATTTTTTCACTGGCGAAAACCTTTGCGGACTCGACGTGAGTTTTTTGCAACCGTACTCTGTGTGAAGAAGTAGTAAAACCAAACAACAGAATTTTTCCGAATTTCAAAATCGGAAATGCTACGCAATTACGCCTTTGTTAAAAGGGCCGACTTCTTAGTGTATAAATGGCCTTTTCTGTCGCACAATATTCAATCCTTGACAACGACAAGAATTTAAAATGTTTTCCTATTTTAGTTTAATTGTGTTCATGGTCACTCGCGATTGCGTTGATTTATGACAAGATGAAAGCATTACTTCTTTTAAATGCCACGGCAATCTGCGAACATAATAATGTGAGAATATACTGCCCGATTATATTTAGTTTTGATTTAAATTATTTGCGATCTTGCGAATTTGTTATCGCTGTTAGAAAAATCCTACTATCTGCTATAAATTTCTAGAAAGTACAACTTGATTTAGTACTTATTAAAAATATAATTAGTATATTAGTGAATAAAAATAAAAAATATTCATAGCCTTGCTTTAATATTAATTTAATTGTGATCATTTTACTCTGCGATTCGTATTTTTGTGAATTGGACAAATATGAGCTGTTCGTACAACAGTGTCGCTCGCAGGCCAAAATCAAGGGTTGCAAGTCATTGGTGTAATCGTAAAAACAGCTGTTTTGTCACTATAATTAAGAGAATCGTCGCGGGCCTGATTATTTTGCTCCGCTGGCCGTAGGTTGCGGACCCTGCAGTAAAGCAAAGAATTCTGAGGGAAATGCCCTGATACGAATACTACATTAGCACCCGAAATTTTGCAATTTGCAACATGTCTAAAAAAGCGTTTTTAAAAAACTTATGGTGTTTTCAGTTTTATTTCCAGTATTTTGTATTGCCGCTTTTCTATTTAGAAAATTTAGGTTGCCACCATTGACACCTACCAGAAAAATTATTCCTCGTACAACAACGACTAAATCCAATCGTTTGATTAAACGACGCGCAAGTGACATGTCGCGTCACTTGTTATCAAATTTTCGAAAAATAAATTGCTATTCTAATAATTGAATATTCGAATATATGCCAAGCCTTACTCATTCAGTATCCAGAAATTATTGACTCGATTAATGTTATATGAATAAACTTACTTTTTATGTTTAATGTAAATTCTAAGGTAAATTGTGGCTGATGGTTAAGTTTCGCAAAAACAATTAACGGCTCGCAGTGAATTTATGGCTCGTTGCGGACTCATTCAAACGCACCGCGGACTCAGGTTGGGAAACACTGGTCTAGTCGTTTGAATACTTCGGCCGAATATGAGTTGTTTATGTATTATGTACACAGGGTTCCAGTTGTTGCATGATTTTTGTTTAGTTTGCATGTCGGTAATAAGTTTTACTTTCATACATACTTCTTTTTTACATATTTATTTGAATGTACAAAGCAATTTTTGCTAAAATGCATGTTTGGAATAAATCATAATAATATTGTGATTTAGATAATCTTTCGAGTCAAGGCTGTGGAGTTTTGAGTTTGGCATGTTTTCACTGGAGTCCTATTTTCGAACTCCATGGATTTGGAAGTCAAAATTCTGAATTTCTCGAAATTGATCTCAAAACTTTGTGAACTTTCAGTAGTGATAAAAAAATGAAATTCCCACAGAATCTCAAAAAGCATCAATAATAATGAGTTTCCCAACAGGAAAGGATTGCATAAGCTGCAGATTTTGCTATTAAAATTTGATTTTGTCGGAGCTAGAGTCAATTTCTTTTATCGCTGAGTAGGAGTCAAAATTCGAGTCAATGGTGAATTTCCCTCAACTGCACAGCCTCTTGCTTCTAAGATAGTACATTTTCAATTTCCTGAATAGCATGAAACATTTATTTTAGTGGACTTTTTTTACCCTCAATGCATTCTAACTTGTATTACTCACACCTACCTAGATCTGATACGTTTGCAAAGAATGAAACAAAGAATCGAATTCAAGCTGAAGAAGAAGAAATGAAATATTTGGAATTTATCAACGGAGTGACGAATGATATACTGACAAGAGGAATTTATTCAGACAGGTATGATACAGAAATATTTGAAAACAGTGGTTCTTAAATTGATGCTCAAGATGAATACTGCATGCTGCGTGTGTAAGATCTGCTAGGACCAAGCTTGCAAAATAACACTTGTAGCTTGTATAATTTTTGTAACATTTCTCATTGTCAACAAAGAACAATCTCATTTTATTTATCGTTCAACATTTGTAACTTAAGCCTGTGGTCTGGTTTTCATCAAAAATGTCACAGTTGCTTATTTGTGTTAGTGTTCAGAAAAATTTTGAATCTTCACTCTTTCGATGGCATAGTTGTTTTCTATGCATACGGGTCCGCCAGCGCAAAAGTCCTGGAGAATCTCGATCACTTAGCAGATCTAGCTTAGCTGGGTGTTTTATGTTTGATTCATAATAGCAATCGCCTCATGCTGACCTTTCACTCTATTTTCCATTCAGCCACAGAGTTATTGTTTATTAGTTCCGTCAATTTAATTTTTTTAAATGACACTTAACTAGTGTTTTTTTCTCTGTAAAAGCAGCCGCGAATAGTGATATGCTAATAGCTACTATTTCGGGGGGTGGGGGAAACGGAAGCTTTCTAATTCAGCATTGCCTAACTAGTTTGTTAAACCCTGATTGAGGTGGTAGGCATGAGATTCAAACTCTAAATGCATAACCTGCTATGCCAATACAGTCAACTGCTTGAAAATCCAGTGTTACGAAAATGCTGATAAATTTTATTAGCGTTGGTGGTATCACCGTTCGAAAATTTTAGAAATATAAATCAATCAAGCATCAATTGCTTCAAGTTTCATATTTATTCTTTACATTTGGTGAATGCAAAAACTTGATCATAAAATATTAGCATTCACAAATAAATTTACCGTCTAAGGGTATCACTGTTCGAAAATTTTGGAAATATAAATCAATCAAGCATCAATTGCTTCAAGTTTCATATTTATTCTTTACCTTTGGTGAATACAAAAACTTGACCATAAAATATTAGCACTCATAAACAAATTTACTTTCAAAGGGTATTGACGCAAGTCATGCAGAGGCACCTTGACCAAAATCGTAGCAGATTAAATGAATCAAGAATGAGACATATGTTGATGAAATTACAAGAAGATTTAGGAGTTTCCGCTGATATATCATCTCGTGGATTTCGCAGCACATCAGCATACTCTTCGGGTTATGAAGGGTCATCTTGTAAGTTGCACAATATAGTGATCTTAAAGTTATTTTGATTAATACTTGTGTTTATATTTCGAGAATTGTAGTTCATGTAATTGGTATTAGTTTATATGTGTCAATATTTATCTAAACTAATCGGTCCATTCAAGCCACTCATATCTAGTGAGAAACTCATGGCTTTCTTGTATTGATCAGTGTCATGCTTAAATACATACAGCATGTAGAATTGGGTCAATGGGAACTTCGATTTTGCTATATTTCTAGATTACTTATTCACTCTAAACATGGCTACTAGGTAAGGAGCTACTGTCGTTTGAAAGGAAGGGTATCTTTCGCGCTTGTCATCGCCTACCCAATTTATTGCACCCTGGGCTCAAATTGGAAGGGTCAAATTGCAATGGTCCTTAGATTGAGAATCCTAGATAGAATTTCAGGTTTCCAATGTGATCCCATCCTCAGGGCATGGGATTTGAACCCGAGATTTGATAATCTGAAATGCAATCATAGTTAAGTGTGACACTGCAGTAACCACCACCCCCGCCTCATACTGATAATATTTTTATGTTTAGACAATCGTTCCCCTAGTCCCGAATCCAAAGCAAACCAAGGAAGTTTGAGAAGTGCTTCTTGGAAAAGTGATGCGTCATCTCGTTCTGGTAGGCTGAGTTTCTCTGAGACAAAACAATCTTCAAAGCCACCTGTCAGTGCATCGTCAGGATCACCATCTATCCGCAGTAGCGTTAAACGACAGAAAGGAATTTTGAAAACACCAGGAACGTCATCTGGATCTGATTTGGAAGCAAAATCGACGGCTTTTTCATCTGGTGACGAGGATGATAAAAGAGTGAAGAAGAAGGTCAGTGTCGAGCGTCTTCCGAGTACAAGTCTCGAAGAAAATCCAGACAAACCAAGTGATAATCATGATAAATCAATACACAGTGATATTGGGACAAGTGAAGCATCCCGTCCAGTACCTGCAAAGCGAAGCTCTATTGTTAGTACCAGCGGTTCACATATTGCAGAATCCGTATATTCCGTAGATGCCGAAAAAAATAAGAAAATAGTTACAGAAGACAATGCTGTCACGAATGAAAATGGATCTGTAGAAAACATTACAGCAGTGACTCGACAAGAGGACGGTCTGGCAGACAGTGATCTAGACGATTTCTAATAATTACCTCTATATTATAATCATGCACCAAGGTTACAGTGTACTTAGTCACTGTATGCTTGCTTTCCTATATGTATATACAACATAGAGTTGTCCTTTTGTGTTTTTTTATTTGTTTTAGTAAACTTTTGTAGTTTTGTCTTGAAGTCCCCAAATTTCTGCAATGTCTAATTATTTCTAAAATTATTAGTTACCTGTATCAGAGGAGAGGCACTTTCGCAATTGCAAATTTTTCGATAACTTTCAAATGTTTAACCTAGATATTCCAGTCCCAGACTGCTTGTTTAGTGACAATAACGAGTCAAGTTTTAATGACACTGATATATTAATTCAGTTTCTTGATTCTTGAAGTGCATATGCACTTAAATCTTGCTCATAATCACCACATTGACAGCATATCTACTACAGACTGCTTGTTTAGTGACAATAACGAGTCAAGTTTTAATGACACTGATATATTAATTCAGTTTCTTGATTTTTGAAGTGCATATGCACTTAAATCTTGCTCATAATCACCACATTGACAGCATATCTAATACAGTCTGCTTGGTACTCCTGAAGTATGCGCACTAAGATGTAGCATAACCTAAATCCTAACCTGCAGGTTGTGCGTCATCTTGGTGCGCATACTTCAGGAGGTCTGTCTGCTTTTTAAAATTATTATTACCTACCGGTACTATTGCATAGTTATTAATCTGTACTATCTAGATTCGAATAATATTAATCGTAGACACCTAAATAGAATCACATATTGCAGCTTAAACAAATTTTTACATTGTGCTGAGTTTAACTGCATTTGAGTTCATAACCGAATCTTTCAGCACGTTTTCCCATTAGTCATCAACGGTAATATCTATTTTCGACCAATATTAGATTTTAACAAGCGCATCACATTCTTTATAGAGGGCTGCAAGGGAGTGATTCAAAAAATAAGTGAATGATAGTTATTTCTCATCTATCACTGATATGTACATATTAAATTCAAATTTTCAAGCAAGTAGGTAAGTTTTTTTATATTGGAAACACTAGAGGTTAATTTGGAGATCATGATTTGGGTGTATGTAATAGTATAAAAATATATATTTGGATCTTTCAATGTCAGAGATCAGTTTTATCATTCTCCCCAATATATTGAAAGTTATTTTTATAATTTGAATTTGTACTTTTTACACTCGACTGTGAGAACAAGTTATCAAAATATATTTTTATAATAGACTCATTTAGAACTAGATTTCATATATAAAACTTTATAATTAATTTGCATGTTATTGTTTTAGTTCATTGTGCACAGTCTTGTTGCTGTTTTTCGTAATGAATTAATGAAAGCGAGTAAAAACTTCAATGAGTGATGATGTTTTACTATAACAGATTTTCACAAATATTTTTCTAGGTTGTCAGCCGTCTAACATTGTTTCGAATTCCTCACCCGCCTTACAATGCAGTGATAACAAACAGCTTTGTTTGGTCATTATCCAAATCTGACGACGCCACAGCCTTTCTCCTATTTATGTATTATGATATAAACAAACAAACTTGGTCATTTCAAAATTTTTACACATTCCTGCCCAACCCCCTTTGAGGAGTCCGGGATATATTATGCTGCTATTGCTCAAACATATGTAGGTTCCTGTGGATTGTGAGATAGGTCGCGGCAACAAAATATATTTAGTCTAAATCAGTGGTCGGCAACCTTTTTCAAGTGACGGTGCAATAAATTATACACATTAGGAAATTACTGTTGTCAATATACTAGAAACGACGGTGATGCTATTTTAGGCGATATTTCAATTTGTTTGTTGGCCATTAACTGTTCCCACATTGGAGATATGGTTGACATTGACACACGTTATTATTTCGTTTTTGTAGTTATCAATATGGAAAACCAGGCCTTACATTAATAAGATTTCTGGGAAGGTAACAATCAATGCCTGTTAACCTTTCTGACCTTAGTCTGGGTATTGATGTGATGTTTTGCCAAAACTAATTATTTTACTCGATGTGCCAACTTTATGATTATCTTGATTCTGAAGTATAGAATTAGCACTGACTAGGTATGACCGGTTAGCTATGAGCCAGTAGTGGTGTAGTCACGTTTAGAGATGTATCGGCAATATCGGTCAATTTTTCGGTATCAGCTGAGTGTATACCGATATATTTTGCTTTTCAATATGATCCAAAATATTTTAAAAAATAAGTTAGAATCTTGAAATTATTTTATGCTTGGATTGATCGTGAACTATGAGCCATTCACATGTCGGGAATAGGATTCACCTGTTTTTAGCTATTTATCAGCCAAACTGGCTCCACTAATTTGGCTATTTTAGCTGCTAAATTTTCAATATTACATGGTAATTATGAAGAGATATATCAATCGAATATTAGTGGATGTTCCGATGTGTAAAATACGACGTTATATTGACATTGAACAATTGAATTGAACATTGAGATTACTAGCGTTAGTACTCAACGCATCTGAACCAATTAACACTTTTGATCCAAAAAATCAATTGCTTATGTGATATATCTCGTTTTCAATCTGAAATATTGTGCGCTATCAATATTTCTCAAAGACTATTGTTTTAACCCGTCTGTCCTGCACATTGGAGGTAATAAATATAGTATCCGAATATCGGCCGGCAATATCGGCATCACCGTTTTAAGCTAATATCGGATCGGTATCAGTGACAACAGTGGTATTGATGCATCTCTAGTCACGTTCTCAGCGAAAATCTTTTGTTGGAGATGCCGTATTCGGATTGATGAGAGACATTCTTATACGGACGTAGAGGAAACAATTGACCTAGCATGACATGGCAAAGTCAGACATGCTGCTCAAAAGTGTTGTGCCTGTCTAGTTTTGGTTTGCTGTTGGGTGCTGTTTTTCGTCGTAAGGTTAGTGGTTATATTGTAGGGGTTTTATTACGGCCTTGTCCCCTCTCTGCGGACCGGCAGTAATCTTTCCGCGGACCGGCGATGGGCCGCGGCCCGGTGGTTGCCGACCACTGGTCTAAATCATACAAATGAGCACTTTATAGCCGGCCCAGGGATTAATTGCTAAGGCTTAGCCACCTGCGCCTGTTCCGCTCAATGTTTTCTGATCCATCTCCTACACAGTGATGTTGATCTCCATCTAACTGGTCACAAGTCTTGTACAACAACATGAACTTTGACAAGATATGGATGTATATTGCACATATATTAGTAAGTAAAAGTTGAATTGAGAAAATAGTAACACTAAATCACAACCAGGGCTGCGGAGTCTTAGTTTAGTGGCTTCTTGGGATTCAGAGTTCAAACCATGAAGTGGACTAGAAACTTATAAATGTAGGCTTGCTTTCTCCAAATTGTTGTTTGTGATAGTCATAAATAACATGTATACAATACCACAGAAGTGATCACATCAATCCTATTGTTTCACAGTAAAGCAATAGTAGTGATCAACTTCCCAGTGAAATGGTGGAAAAAGTTATGAAAACAACACTTACAATGACTCTGTGAAAGCAAAATAGTTAATGCAATAGTAACATAATGTTGCATAAGTTATAGAGCACCTTCCCCATAGGTTGTATACAGATAAAGATTATGAACAGTAAAAAAATGCTATTTTTTGAACTGCCATAAAACTTCTAGCAAAAAAGTCTGAACTGAACTAATGGTAACTTTGGCATAATGTAGTTGTAATATATCGTGGCTTACAGTTGTACATAATTATGTAAATATAGCATGGATAATCAATTGGTTATATGCAATAAAGTTGCACAGACAGGTAACAGTTATTAAATGATTTAATTGTAGTAAAACAGAAATCACATGTACAATATTAAGGCATTTTATGATTAATATATACTATGTAATTATGATTTATTCATGGGCAATTAATTGCTCACAATGTAAACTTTCCTTCTTTTAAAAGCTTTTGCCAAACTGCACCAGTTGGATATTCATAATCTGAGATTGATTCTGTTTTCATTTCAGAACTGAATCCTGGGTCCTAGAAAAAGGGAAGTCAAATTACTTCACTGTTACTTTACACCAGGGGCCGCATCCGGCCCACATCCGCGCCGCCTCACTGATTTTGTCGATTATATTCTTCACGTGTAGACTAAATTATTTTATAACGTAACAAGTATATAATTCACAATTACTCGTTTAATGAGCCTATAATTTAGATGGCAACAAAACGCAGAAAAGTTGATGCAAAGTGCAAATGGTTTAATGGCGCAAAAAATACTCAAATGGTCGGTCTTCGCGCGCTGCCCAAAATTTAACTTCTGATTTGTGTGATAAAATGTGATTCATCTGTCATCTATTCGATTTTTAACTTTCTAAAAATATGTATGGCCCACCAATGACTTGCAACCTTTAATTTTGGCCCACGAGCGACAAAAGGTTGCTGAACCCTGCTTTACACTGTATTATCTTGATTAAAATAAGGTAACTTTGCCTAAGATCAGAGACGCGGCAATCTTTGCCATTGATTGGCTCACATTATCGCTGGTTAGTATATTGTCATCCTTCATTACAGTTTTTGCATATGGAACAATTAACCAACTTCTAGTAATCAGACAGAACGCCATGGTCAGGATATTTATCACGCTAGTAAGGGTTTATTAATTAAGCATACTTCCATCTCCCCACAGATAAATACACAACCTATCCGGCGATTTAAATAATTGGCGGCGGTGTGGCGCATCGCGCTAAGCGTTAGGAATACGCTCGCCACCGCATCTCTGATTACCGCTCGTGGGATCGCAGGTTCGTCTCCCATGCAGGGATGATCATGTGCGAGAGGATTGCTGGACTCCTCGCCGCCGTAGGGTGGTTCACGTAACCGCTGGTCGGTTACGGCTTCCTCCACCATCAAGTCCATGCTTCCGAAAACAAATAACTGGCTAACTAATTCCATACTTGACCTGGACTGGTGACCGGACGAGAGGCCGTGTTTCGCCATATGATTAAGCCGTCTTATCGGCTTTTCTCTCACCCGGGATAAACATGTAAATCCTATTCTAACAACCTTGACATAGACATAATTTATTATGCACATAATCACAGCTAATGACAGTTACCTTGGGTGCAGTATATGCAGCATTCTTTATTACAACAGGATCAACAAAATGTTCATGAAGATGATCAACATATTCACATACCCTGTAAAATGATATGTTGCATAGTAACCCTTTATCGCATACACTGAGTGATTGAAATACATTAATCTGAGTTACATAAAGAAAAAACAATACCTGTCCTCTGTTGTGCCAGAAACACAAAGATAGTCAAACATAATTATATGTTGAACTAACTCACACAAACCAACACCTCCTGCATGTGGACAAACGGCAACTGAAAAAAAAATATGGGAAAATTTGTCAGACAATGAATAGTGTACAACCTGAATTCTGAACATAGTTAAATAAAAGATCATTTTTATGAAAAATATTTTTCTGTGATTTGAATGTTATAGTTGTAACTTGTCTGACAATGAATTTACTAGCTAACAAGGCTGTGGAGTCGGAGTTGAAACAAATTTTGGCTCCTACACTGGGTAAGAATAACCTTTCCCCGACTGTGACCCCCGAATCTGGTTTGTAATCAATTTAATTCAGACACCCAGTTTCAAACTCCGAGAAAATCATGTTAAGATGATAAAAACTTTGGTGTATGTATGCAAATGCAAGCTTTCCTCGATAAAATGTTTAGTAAAGTTAATGCTTTTTAAGATTCTGTAGAAGATTCTTCTATCACTATTGAATGTTTGGAAATTCGAACTGTGGGAAATTCGGAATGCCGGCTCCCGACTCAAGTAAAAACATGCCAAACTCAACTCCACAAACCTGGTAGCTGCCGAATATATACATCAGAAGTCTCGATCGATATAAAAGTTTACATTTTAATCCTAGAGTGATGAATTGATCATTTCAATTAGGCCACAACTGACCAGCACTCACATAAGGTTAAAGATATATCTGGTTTAAACCCTGTGCCCACCACATTCTTGTATAATAACTTGAGTGAGTAACAACAATGCAATTATTGTCCTCACATCATAAAACATTTACTTACCACTAACATTGGCAATATGTTTTCAATAGAATCTTCCCTTTATATTTTAATTAACGATTAGAAGATCGATCAATTTGGCAATGGCAACCATAATTTTTTTCTTTTTCTAGTATTTATTTTTACTTTTTGTTTACTGTATAGTATACCCTAAATTTATCGCGTTTTATTTTTACTTAAATAATTTCTCAGTGGTTGTGTGTGTGTGGCTGGTGGGTGCATGTGAGCGTGTGTGAAATAACTTTATAATTTTAGGTGAGTAAACACGTACCACTTCCTCTTGGCAAAACCTTCCATCTTATATTTTGTACGTTATAAACCTTATCTAAGGTTTTGTTTGCTCCCCTGATTTCATAATCAGTTTTTATTTATTTGTTCTTATCTGTCAAATGTATTGTTATGCTGATTATGGAGTCGAAATAAACTTATACTTATACCAAGCACTGAGAGACTAACCTCCATATTTTTTAGCCATTAGCAATACAGCAATGTTTTCATTTATAGATCCAAGTCTACAACTATCGATCTGACAATATTTAATCTTTCCATCTCTGATGAATTGTTTAAACATGACACGATTTTGACAGCATTCCCCGGTTGCTACACCTATGCCGTATTGTTCCATCGCCTGTAAAAAATTCCGCAATAGCAAATAATCTAACAAGATATGGCAAGAGAGATATGTTATGAATTTATGATACATTAGTATTTTTACAAAGTTTCATTATCGCTACTGTTAATAAAAGTAGAATTTGGCGACTGCCGCATCGTGCAAAGCGTATAAACACACATGCCATCGCACCAGCCATTACCCTGCTATAGGGTTCACAGGTCAAATCTTGCAGGGATAATTACGGTATCTGCATGAGTGCGACTGGACCCCTCACTGTTGCAGGGTGGTTCATTTAATCACCATTTGGGCAAATTAGGAATTCATTCACCACCATGTTACACTATTTCCGTTCCCTGGAAATTCACCTGGACTGGTTATCGTCGTGGGAAAGAGGCAGAGGTTTGCAATATTAAAAAATCCAAAAAGCTTTTCTTTCCTTGAGATGAATATGTGAATCCTATCATCTTAAATCATGAGGTGTCAAAATGAAGATTTTTCAAATTTAAATATTCTATTCGTTTTGGATATGACTGTGGAGACAAACAAAAAATTGATAAGCCTAATTTGACCAAATGCCCGACACCATACTTAACTGAACCTGCAATCAAAATTTTTTCCACCAAATAAACAGGAAAGAAGAATTTGTCTAAATCCTAATTAATCTCTGAGAAATCACCAACAAATACCCCTTACCTCTGCAATAACTCTGTGTCCTTGAACATCATCAGGACTTGTTGGTTCTTCAATCCACTTAAGTTTAAACTGAGTCAAGTTTTTCATCCATTCAATTGCATCTTTGACATCCCATCTCTGGTTGGCATCAACCATCTACAAGATTGTATAATGTTAAGAAACTAACAGGGAAATGCCAGTATAGCTTATCAGTTTTTACTTATCAATTTTAATCGGGAAGTATGTTGATAGATATTTGTCTGTTTGTCTGTTAGATGCACGCGATATCTCACGAAAGCGAGATAAATTCTGCTCCAGATTTTGCATGTGCATTCATCATATGTCGGACTAGAAGCCTATAAATTTTGAATGAATTATGTCGTATAATTAGCGAGTTATTAATTAATTAGTGATGAGACACAAGGTGTCACTATGAAGTAAGAGCGCTGTTTTGGGGGATCCCCTTAGTTTCGATAGATAAGTCTTCGGTCTCTGACCGATATTCTCGTTCTAACTTTTAATAGCAATTTAGCATATCAAAATTTTGTATTTTGAATTCATTAAATTGAATAAGAAACCTACCCAGGGTTGACAAATCGGGTAATAGAACTGAACATAACAATCTGGAGACAACCGTGATCCCAAATTCAGTAGCCTCCTACATTCAAGTGGCTATTCATACAGAGCTTTTATCAAAGCAAATTGGAAAGTATTCAAAATTTAATTCATAATTCAACAACATGAAACGTGATAAAGCTACAAAATGCTCAAACAGGCTCTGTAATCCACACATCAGGCTAAGCGTTAAGAATCCGTTTGCCATCGGCCATCGCACCTTTGATTACCCTGCACTGGTTTGCAGGTTCATATATCCTGGGATATGTTTATGTGCAAGAGGATTGCTGGACTTCTGGCAACATCCTCTGCCATCAAGTCCATGCAACTGAAACAAATAAATGTTATCTATTCTCATATTCAACATGGATTTATAAATTGATGAGAGGTTGGTTCGCCATATGATCGAGCCTTCCTTCTCCCCGAAGACAAATACCTAAATTCTATCCTAAAATACTAAGAATTGAAATACACTGGAATTTGGATAACAGGTACAGTTACATATTTCAATTTAACCAAATCCAGTATACCTTGAATGAATTTAATTTGAGTCAAGCACTTATTAATAATATTATGTCAGATAAATTATTTGATTAAATTGATCGACAATTTATGTATATCAGACTACAAATCCGTTATTATTTCACCATTTCCATATCTGGTCCAATTTTTTCTCGAATGATGCGGCATCGTCGTATATCATCTTCCAAACTAGCACCAACTTTGACTTTGAATCTATCAAAACAATTAACTGGATTGGATTTATGACTTCGGCCATCCCCATAGACCTACTGAAAAACATACTCTCAAGTATGCAATCTGTGATTACAGAAAGCAGGCAAATGCTAAGATATGTAAGCTTAAGACAGACAAAATGGAATAAACAAAGATAATCTATACAACCAATGAAAACAAAAAATCAAGTGTCCTTTACCAGTTCATATTTCAAAGAATAGTCAGTTTTTTAAATGAGTAACTTTTATGCAAAATTCATTGGAATGTCCAATAACTATTAGCTACTTAAAAATTTCTGCCAAACATTTTCAGTCTTAGGCTAAGCAGTATGCATATCTGTAAAGAAGTTTGGTGGAATTTGTTTATCCAACCATAAATCAGACAGGCCATTGTTTCTCTCACATTGAAAATTTATTTAAGAGAAATTACAGTACCAATTAGATTCTCACTTACTTGGTCCAACCCTCTTCCAATGCCTCTTTACAAAGCTGAAAGAAAAAACAGTTTATAAAATTTTTACAGAAAATTATGTCAAAACAAAATCATATTCGAGATTGAACTGGACAAAACTGGTTATTGCATCGACTGTAGTTGAAAATCACCAGACTGAAAAAAATACCCGTCTTAATCATTGGTCCTAATTTTTTGAAGCCAAAAATGTACCTTTGTTAGATATTCATCAGAATACCCGAGCCAAGCCACTGAAGTTGTGTAAGCTGGATAGCCTTTCTCTAGCATAATCTTTTCTGTAAAGCAAGAAAGAACGTAATAATATTTAATTAAAAACTCTTCTCCCAGAAACTCCAGATATGAATAACTTGTTATTACGTAGCTGTATTCTTGTTAGTATGGACTTGAACTGCTTTCAGTCTTGCATAATTCCAATGTTTTACTACACTAGAGATAAGTCTCTATTACTTCTGTGTGAGGACGTGTACCCTTGCTTTGAGCAAATTATCTTGAAAAAAAAATCAGATTCATATCTAAATCAGGGGTGTGCGACCTATAAGACAGGAGGGCCAGATAGAAATAACTGGGTGAAACCGCAGGCCGCAACTTTATTTAACATAGGCTATCAAGTAGTTTAAGGCACAAAAATTTTGGTTATTGATGACATGCGTTGCTTGCACAAGCTAGCTGATAAGACATTGTAAAGTCATAAGCATAGATTGAACTCAAGTATAGGCTTCGCAATGCAAAGGGATTGGAGTTACTCGCACGTACCAAATTAAATTAATTGAAAACTTGTTTCACAGGCACATCATTTAAAATTGGCACTTCTCCACGGGCCACATAATTTTTCGTTGAGGGCCACATTTGGCCTGCGGCCCGCATGTTGCACACCCCTGATCTAAATGAAGAACGATTTTTACATACCTCTTTCTTGCTTGGTTGCTTCGTTTTTCTTCAATATTTCCAATGCTTCTTCTTTAGAAATAGCATCAGTTCTGAGTTGAGTAAAACAAAATATGTTAAAAAATTGCACAATGAAAAAGAGATATGATTTTTATTGTAGAGAATGTAACTTACATGTAACTGAAATCTACCAATGATAGGATCTGTTCTGGGGACATGTCAGCGAGAAGTTTCCAGACTGGCTAAAAAATAACGCAAATAAGTTAAATTCCTATTCACATTGGGTACACAAAGAAGTCTAAGCATTACAGATATGCAAAATATCAATTACGCATCTGCGTTCAAAATGTGTGTTACTGATTCATGCAATTTCTTATAAAAATATTGGATTGTCACAATAATAAAAACAAGAATAAATATAACTACCGGTATTAGAATTTCATCTTTTGCCCAGAGTCAGTTCTCATTACATCTTAACCAGGTTTGTGTTATTTCAAATTTATACGTTTTTTCAAATTTTCAGTTTTCTTACATCAATTGATACACATTTATATGTCACTATTAGTTGCATGAAGCACATCAATTTTTTTTCTACCTAATTTAGTACATGAACACCCTGTATAAACTCTTGCTTATGAGAAAGGCTTTTATTAATCAGCCACATAGGCCAGTAATTTCCAACCCTTTTGGTGGAATGGGAAACCCAATAAAACATTCCAAAAGATCGAGAAACCCATGTGTAATAGTTTGTCTTAATAATATATACCCAGTGGTGGGATCTAGCCTGTTTGCACCGGTTATATAGAACCGTCCCGCTGAATTTTATGAGATCAGCGAACCGGTTAGAATTACTGGTTACTGTCAATGACTTTTTGTAACAGAACCAACTGAAAAATATGACGTTGTAATGGAACCGGATGACAAAAAATTTGAATCCCTCCACTGTATATACCTTTAAATACCGTAAATCAAACCCAATAGTATTGAAACAAAATGATCTTTTAAAGGTAGCAACAAGCAAGTTTAATATTAAGTGTAAAGGTATTTGATATATCCAAACAATATAATATATAGGCTCTCGGATTTAAAAGGGAACTTGCAAAACCCCTGGACAATCTTGTTCTGGTGATTATCTAGCGTTAATGCTAACGCTTGACAAACAATGTGCAGAGTTGGCTTAGATCAAGTTACAGTTCTTTAAGTCAACAAATTATGTAAATGTTTGAATACCACTTTCTACACAAGATAAAATAAATAAAATTACCTTATTTTCTTTCTTTGCCCACAGATCCCATAATGCATTGAAAACTGCTGAAGCTGCAATGTGAACAACACCTTTCTCTGGTCCGAGCTAAATTGTTTTGCAAATAACAAATTATGGTAATGAAATTATAATTGGCAGCATTGAAGATATTTGTATTCTCAATAATGCAATTATTTATTAATTTGACTTATTCATATGTCTTTATCTCCGAACAAGGCCCTGCAAAGCAACTACTGCTAGGCAAGGAGCTACATCCAATTGAGAGATCAAAATATTTTTTGTTCAACATTTCCTAGGCAATTTATTACACTCTGGGTTGGGTGGTAGGGATGGTATTTGAACCAAAGACTTGAACCTATGATGCAATCACTAGGCCACCACAATCCGACTTATATATCCAACAAAACACAGTTCAAAAAGTAGACAGTGGCCTAACTGTTGACTTAGCATGACCAATAAAACATTGACTAGCGAAGAGTTTCTGAAACAGGGTATGAATTAGTTGAGCAATGTCAACGATAATATTCATTGATCGTAAACAAACTAATGCCTGTTAGTACGACAAAACATGTTTTTCTCACCCATCTAAGCTGTCCATCACGAACGATTTCTTGCCAAAATTTTCCAAAACCCTGAAATATATCTTTTATATTCCTTCCAAGGATTCTGGGTCTTATTACTTCAATTGCCTTCACAACTAAAAATAATGTCATTATTAAGTCTCAATGCAAAAATTACATTTATACCATGAGTAATATGAAATAAGTTTTCAATATGGGTTCATAACACGATACATAGCACAATTTTAACTCTTTATCAAAAAGTGTAAATTCCGGACAATACCAGCAGACTTTTAGCGTTGAATTGAAGCCTCGAAAGATTGCACCTCATTCGACTCGATGAAAGGATATAGGGGGTTTTGATAGACCACGACAGGTTGTTTGAATGAATGGAAATAATAAGACTAGTAATTCCCAAAATGTGCGTCATGAATTATCAATCCATTTACTAAAAGATCTTTTCTCATATACCCATGTTTAGAACTTGACTTAAATGATGTTCATTGTCTGTTAAATAAAGGTTGAAAGAAAAGTACAGATATATGAGTATATCAGGACTATGTCAGATACTCAGTTGGGTTTCGATTCTTTATTAATACTGTAATAACATAAAAACAAGCTCCAGAGTTGAATAATTGAATGTAGATATCCTGCAAAATTTTGACTTCATAAAGTTGTCAAAGTCTTATTCCAGAGCATCATGGCGTGCGATACTGAAAGTCAAAAAGTCATTAATATTCCTTGAAACTACCACATTCGGCATCAAGAACAAATATTACCAATGTCAGTTCCTTTTCCAAGTGTAAATGTTAAGCCATGCCCAATAATGCCATCTGATGAATCAGTCTTCAAAGTAACATATGCAGCAGAATAGTCCACTTCCCCATGCTGTTAAATATAGTTGAAATATCATAATAAAGTAATACAGTAATAGAAAGTTCAGAATATTTCTGCATTAATTAGGTAACGTATATCTGTTATATTGCAGTATTACTTTTCAAACAGGGCTACTTTGCTTTTTCAACGTTACTGCCCTGAGTCAATCACTGAATCAAGAGTTAAAACTCACCATAGCATCTGATCCATGATGTCCCATTGAAGTGGGAAATCGGATATCCCATACTTTTAATTCAGTGACTACACAGTCAAACTTATCCATTTTTATTCTAGTCTTGAACTGGCACTGGTGGGATATATCACTGAGTAATTATATAACCCCTGAACTGTCTGTCGAAATAAGGAGGTCGGGTTATAGCAGCCTATGCCACAGTTCTAGCTATATGCAGATATGCAAATCGAAATCTAGGAACTGGAAATTTGTCGCCGGGGCAAATTGATGTGGTTCAAATCAATTGTTGGTGGTGCATTTTTGCATGGCCAAAACATCCGCGAGTCGAGTGTGGATGTCAATGGGTGCAGTTCAGGAATGCAAATGCACAAGGGTACAAAGACGAAGGAACCTTACAGTAAGATAAGATTTACATATTTATTCCGGTGAACAGGAAAGCTGATAAGACAGCTTAAACATAGGGCGAACTACGGCCTCTCGTCCAGTCGTCAGGTTACCAGTTTATGTCGAGTACCGTACCTGTACGGGGTTAGTTAGCTACCGTAATTATTTATTCCAGATACATGGACTTGATGGTGGAGGGAAGTATCAAAGGTATAGGCTCTAAGTTGGTTCAGTGGTTCCCAAACTCTTCAATATCGTTACCGGTAACTTACCTATAAATCGAATTACCGTACCATACTGCCATAAACTCAATTACCCCTTTTATGAAAATAAAAACTATGTACCGGTACCGGTAAGCCACAGAATACCGGTAGGGTTTCAGAAGAGCGAAATCTTCGCCAAACCAAAGAACATTCTAAATGCAGAAATGTAGGATAGGACTGAGGCCATCCACCAAGCTGCCAAGACACGTCCATTCATCCACCTTTGCCTCATTTTCTCGTCCTGCTTGTACTTTCAACCTAACTTTATAAAGCGAGTGCGCTCTTTTATTACATAAAAATCACATTTATTTTGCGTATTTCGTGATTTGATAGTTGTAGTAGTAGGAGTAGTAGTAGTAGTTCTCTCCAGCATTTTATGGATGACTAAATATAGACAAAATAGTGTGAATAAAAGTTGTTATTATTTTCTCTGGAAGATGTCAGCCGCTACTTAACAAAACATATCGAAATCAGTAATGAGCATATGCAATATTTATGCTACTTTATTATCCGGTTAACCTTCAAAATAATATCCGGATAGCAAATAGCAAAATGTCTATGGGTTACCGGATAACCAGTCATTCGGATAATCCCAAAGTGACTAAGTCACTTTAGATAATCCAACCCGTCGAACGACATTGAGTCAAAAATGAAGATTCGGTGTTATGTCTCTCCTCACCGCGTGATCGACTACATTAAGACGTAAAAAATTCTCATATACTAGAACCAGAAGCACACTCATTATTCTCCGTTTAAGATTCATACTAGGATAAGATACTAAATAATCTAATTATTACTCAAAAATTTACATTGTAATGGATAACAAGCAGAAGAAAAATTTATCAGAGAATTCAACAAATGACTCCATCAGCAAACAACAAGATGATGCTGTCAATGTTCTTGATTCCAGTGATATCGTCTTTGAAGAAAGTCTTTCAGAACATCTAGACTACTGCTACAGCAACTATATTCGGGAAAACACTCTCATGACTTCTTTGCCTTCACCAGAAGACACTGGTAGCCTGTGTACCGGTGGAGAGCAAAAACTGAAAATCAGAACCCTAGATATGGAAATGCTTTTGAAATACCACCAGAGTAACATAATTTCGGCCATGAGGGAAGAAATAAACAAAACTTTAGAAAACCAATTCAGTGCTCAAAATCAAAAACTAGATCAACTTGCAAAAGAAAATTGCTCAGCTATCAGTGAGCTTGTGGAAAAAATAGACTCAATCACCAGTAGAATGCAAAAGATAGAAACAGTCCATGAAAATATAAAAACTGATATAGTAGACCTTAAATTATGCCAATCCACCATCACCAAAGATTTTGATGAATCTAATCTAAAAATCAAACAGCTGCAAATGAATCTGAGAGATACTGACGAACACTGCATCTGCCTAAAAAAGGAAATACAATCATTAACGAAACACCTAAATAAAATCGAAAGCAAGCAAAATGATCTAGAACAATATGATCGGCGGCTGAATCTTATCCTGAATGGGATTCCTATAACACCAAATGAAGATCCATTCCTGATAACGAAAAATATTGCCAAGAAAATCAATGTTCAACTTTGTGATACAGATATTTCAGCAGCCCACAGACTAGCAACAACTTCAGATTCATATACACCGGGAATAATAGTTCGTTTTTGCCGAATGAACAAGCGAGATGAGATCTATAAGAATAAGGCCAATCTTTCGAAGGAAAAGCAAGGTAATGAAATTTTCATTAACGAAAATTTAACTGAGTACCATCAGCAACTATTTAAACAAACGCGTCAACTTAAAAAAGAGAGAAACTACAAGTATGCATGGACCTATCATTGTAATATTTTTGTGAGAAAGAATGAAACTGCTAGGGCTTTAAAAATAACAAATGAGAAAGACCTTGACAAAATTCGTTAATGCTCTCCGTGCCCTTATTTATGGTAATATTTTCATGTGAGGCTCCATTTGTAAAGCGAAATATGGCAGTACACCAATCTATAATTAGATGCCTTTTACCAAAATTATGACAGAGTGCAAATTTTGTAACAAAGATTGTTCTGGTTATTTGGATAGCATTCACTGTCAAATTTGTCGCTACTGGATTCACTTTGAATGCTCACAGCTGACCTCATATCAAACTAGAAACATGAATAATGATTTCAGTCCCTTTTATTGCAAAGTATGTATAGAAGAAAATTTGTCCACGCCGTATGACTGCAACATCCTTTCTGATATCAATGACAAAACTGCAGTATTATCTGATGTAACAGATTGGAATACTGGTAGTAACTATATAAGTACATCTGACGCCATAGAGCATCTGAGGAATAAATCAAAATCTTCCTTTGTTATGCTACATTTAAATGTGAGAAGTTTGTATCGTAACAAATCTCAAATTGAATTTATCCTCCATGAAGGATCTAATTTACCAGAAGTTATTGCTATCTCGGAAACCAAATTGGGGGGAATGAATCATGATGTCTCAATAACTGGGTACTCTTTTTTCCATTCTGATTCTTCCACAAAAGCTGGTGGAGTGGGACTTTATGTGATAAATACGTTGACTGCTGTAGAACGCTCTGACCTACAATTCCAATTGAATGGCTGTGAAAATCTGTGGGTAGAAATTAAACTAAAATGTTATAAGCTTCCAAAAAAGAGCTTTGTAATAGGTGTGGTATATAGACACCCGTCATATAATATATTTGAGTTTCAATCCAAATTTGTTGAAAATCTAACCAACATTACCTCTTGTGATATACCAGCTTACATTGCGGGGGACTTCAATATTGATATTCTCAAGTATGATATAGATAGCAAAATACATAGATATATTGATGACATTCATAGTGCTGGTTTTCTATGTGCAATCAATAAGCCCACAAGAATATGTAAGAGTACCTCTACTATCCTTGATCATTTGTATTATAACAATGTGAAATATCATGTGAAAACTAGCATTATTACTTATGACATATCAGACCATTTTCCTTTACTTATACAAATCAATCTTGATTGCATGAGACATAAAATAAAAATCCTGCACAGAGATTTCAAAGAATTTAATCAAGAAAATTACATTGAACATTTGGGCTTGTTGCTGAAACAGAAAACTGATTCTGTTTCAGATATAAATTCAAAATTTTCTGTCTTTGTATCCTCGATTAGATCTGTAATTGAGCAACATGCCCCTATGAAAACTTTGTCAAGGAAGTGCACTAAATTGAAATTAAAACCATGGATAACCGTGGGACTATATAAATCTATTAAGACCAAAAATAGGCTATATCAAAAATTCTGTAAGCGTAGAAATGAAGTAAGATTTATACAATATAAAAGATATAGAGACAAGCTTCGGAAGCTGCTTTCACTAGCCTATGAAAATTACCATAAGGATTGTTTCAGGTCATGCCAGAAGAATATATCCAAAACCTGGAAACAAATTCGACAAATAATTGACAGAAAATCTAAGTCAAATGACATGCCAACATGTCTAAATTTTGATAGCTCTGAAATTAGGGACCATAATATGATTTGTGATGCCCTAAACAAACATTTTGCAGATGTAGGGAAAAATCTTGCTGCGAAAATTAACACTACTATTAGAGACTCTCAACACAAGCTTGGTCCTAGCAAAAATGGATCTTTTTATCTAACAGATGTTACTGAATGTGAAATTGTAAATCTTTTGAATGAGTTGGATGAAAAAAAATCATCAGGCTCTGACAATATTCCTATCAAACTTATAAAAATAGCTAAGTTTGTCATAGCACCTGTTTTAACAAATTTGATCAATGCTAGCTTCAGGGTAGGTATTTTCCCAGATATTCTAAAACTTGCCAAAGTTGTTCCATTGTATAAAAAGGGTAAAAGGGATGACATGAATAATTATCGTCCAATATCATTACTATCTCAATTTGCAAAAGTCATTGAAAAAGCCTTGTATAAAAGACTGATAAACTTTTTTGATACTAATGAAATTATCAGTAACTCCCAATTTGGTTTCCGAAATGCACATTCTACAGAGCTTGCTGTAGTCAAACTAAAAGAATCAATATTGAATAATTTATCAGATAATAAAGTAACTTGTGCTATTTTCCTAGATTTGGCAAAGGCATTCAATACGGTTGACCACACTATTTTATTATACAAATTGTCCCATTATGGCATACGTGGATTGCCACTTAATCTAATTCGATCTTATTTAACGAAGCGTCAACAATTTATTGAATCGAATGGTTACAAATCTTCCCTTCAATATGTATCTTGTGGAGTCCCACAAGGTAGCACTCTTGGTCCCCTACTATTTTTAGTCTACATCAATGACCTTCCTACTACCAGTGCGTTCGATACCACACTATTCGCTGATGATACAGCTCTGCTTGACTCTGCCACAAATATTGTAGATCTCCAACATGCAATGAATTTGAAAATAAAGCAAATTGACCATTGGTTGAAACTAAATAAATTGTCGCTTAACTATCCGAAAACAAAATTCATGGTTTTTGGGTCTGGGAAAAATATAAGGTTTGAAAACTTTAAATTAGAAGTTGGCACAATTAGCTTGGAAAGAACAAGTACTATAAAATAT